TGGTTATAGATAGCATTAAGATTTTTGATTTCAGATTTGATTTGAGCATTAATCTATTTAAGTCCTAACTTATCTTTGCATTTATATAACATTTCTTTTTGCCTGCGAAGTTGTTTGAGATGGGGAGACGAGAAGCGGTCGAGGTGTTTGAACAGTGTTTGTTTGGGACAACTTATGTCGAGGCAGAACTTAAGATAATCCATTATATGGGTGATTGAGTCATCTAATGTACTTTCGTACAATAGATCCCAGTTGGTATCTTTTAACATGCATCTTAGATTGAGTAGGTTGTCAGATGTGTAGCTTCTTTGTTGTGCTTTCGTAGACAGGTGTGAGAAGATTTTAATATGTGTTTTGCTGTATATTTTTGGCAAAACGCGGACAATGCAGTGATCGGAGTTAAGTATCGGTGAACGTCTACGTGTTTCATATACTCCTTCGTCATTGGTAAAAACTAGATCGAGTGTTTTGTCAAATCGAGTGGGAAATTTGACTGTGTTTGTGTGACCAAGAGCTTCGAGAAAGGAGTAATCTGAGGTGTTGAGGTCTCCAGTAATAACGGATAAAGAGTTGTCGAAGTTGGCAGCAGCAAACATGGTGAATTCATCAGCAAAATTAGATAGATACTGATGTTTGAATGATCGACTTCATCATTTTCAAACACTTCAATACACAGCAGTAGACAATTTGAATTCTTCTTCATATATTTAAAGGTTATATACCTTTACTCTGACTAGTAATACCTTGTAAACTTGTGGATTCAGAACTAGACTCCGAAGCTATGACCCTTTTCTTCTGCACAAACTGCGGTGTCGTCTGTGACATTCTATTCATCAGTGACTTGCCAGTTGCAACTACAGGTTTCTTCACTCCACCATTATTGTCACACAATTCGTAGTCAGAACTTGATGACGCTGATTTCATATTTAGCTTACTACTAAAATTGGTCACTTCTTCACGGTTCACCTTTGTATGCACTTGTTGCAAACGTGTAAAACACAACCGTGTTTGCCTCGCAACTTGTGACTTATCTGTTGGGGATGTCCCACGAAACCTGCTACACTCACTAAGTTTATGTGGATTACTAGACACCATAGAGCCTTCTCGATATCCACTTCTCTGAGACCCTTTTGTCATAAATGAATGCGTTTAGCTCTCAGACTGCTCTATTCTAAGGGTGAGATGCAACATACTGGCAAACTTGATCATAGTTTGATTGACACTATCTTGTACCACTTTCGAAGAATCGAAAGTATTTACAACCAAGGATTGCTTTGGGCCCTTAATACTCAAGCAGCCAGCCAGCTTAGCATCTATCAATGTAACGTCTGAACCGTTATCCGAAAATGCATAGGTCTCTACCGAAGATTTCGGTCCTTTCACCTTAACTGGTAATCCCCCTAACTAAACTTGTAGGTTGTCAAGGGGTCTAAAGGTACTATTACAATTGACCGAATTCCCCGGTTAGTTTACAGTCCTCGAAGTGGTTGCATATCGGTTGAAAAACTACTTCCTTTGTTTGTCGCCTTACATTTCATATTTAAACAACTGAAACACAGACGCTTCTGTTTTGCCATTTTTGACCTTTCTACGGGAGACAAAGCAATGAAGCGATTGCAATCACTCAATTGATGCGTGTTATCGCAAACAATACACTCATCCTTTCTCGTTGGGCCTTGAGCCTTCACTACAAATGCTTTCTTTATATTCACCGGTTCCCTAGGTTTTACCTTAGAATGCAAAATGCTGGCGAATTCGTCCATCACCTGGTTGACATTGTCTTTTACCAGTTTCAGAATATCATCGAACTTTGGCTCAGTACATTCACCCTCTATACGGGAGCCTATCTTCATCCACTTCCTTTACAGTCGAGTGGGTAGGCGTCTCGCTATTACCCCTAGGACTGAACTTGAGTTGAGATCGCTCAAGCAATTCATCGAAATCAATGCATTCTTGTAAGTCAACAGATTATCCAGAAACTCAGTGAGTGCCTTGGAGTCATCTTGTAATTGACTACCATTACCCTTCACAGCCTCAAATAATTTCCCTACAATCATCGAAGGTCTACCGAATCTTTGACGTAGTATACTCATAGCCTCAAAGTATCCTTCTTCAGGGGACATTAAATTACAGCACTGGATAGCTCTTGAAGCAACTCCAGTACAGTACTTCATCAAATACATTAACTCCATTTCATCATTTAATAAACAATCACTCAACATGATCTCAAAATCTTTGGTAAACTGTGGATAGTCACCTTGGTTTCCATCAAAGTACCGAGGCTCGAACCTAGTTAACTTTAAACCTTTACTATTCCTAAACGGTGAACCATGAACAAGGGACTCATCATGATGAGTATCATACCTACCATTACAATTAACTAGCAACTCATCATTACTTACTTTCCTGTCTGCCTCCAAGACGCTTTGTCCTTTCTTTGACTTTGCATCACTGAACTCGACCAAAAATCCAGAAAAGTTCCAGATAACACCTGTGCAAAGAAGACGGGCAGACACGAGGAAAGACGAGCAGAAACCATCAGGAACTGTCAGCCAACTCTCAGAAACTGTCGATGTCCAGCTCCTACTACACTGAACCTCACTCTGTCCCTCGAAGACTTTCAGAACCACTTTGTATCGACCAACGCGAAAACCAGAACACAGATTGACGACTCGAGAATCCTTTATTCTTACGCCAGCGTGTAACCAACAATAAGGTTATTATTCACAAGGTCCAAGAATAAATGTTATAACAATAAATTACGATAATACTTCTGATAGTTTTTCTCTGTCTTCCACCGAACAGCGAACGATGAGACGATGACTGATGGATTGCTAACTCCCGCGAAAAATGTGGAGGAATTAGGCTTGAGAAAACAGCCATGAATTGATCTTTCTATCTTCAACTACATGGATAGCGATTGCTGAAATCCAAGTCTTTGTCACAACGATGACTGGTGTCGCGCGGTGTGAGCACACGAACCTGAGCTGTTTCACCTTCTTTTTGATGCCTCTGAAGTTGTTACAAATACATTCGGTGGTTACCGCCATCATATAGGTATTATGTTCCGTGATGTGTGGTGACTGTTTTAGTTCATAACATCGCTATTCTGGACGGCCACCTCTCTTATAACCATTATCGCTCCCGTTTTGTGGGCAAGTGATTGTCATCGGGCTCAACTTAATGTTGATCTACAATCACGTAGGATTTGTATTTGGAATCACTCTCCTCCCTTGTTGTCGTAGAACCGTGGGTATACTGGCTCAGCATGATATTGCTTTAAACCGTGTTTAGTGCTCTTGTGATTTTGCATTCGGAATCAGTGTATCCGAAGATTGCTACTACAAACCACTGTGAATAGAATGCCACCTACTAATATTTATGTATACGCGTAACGAGAAAACTCTCTCTACGAAATTCAGAATGTTTCCTTATAACATAAATGATAAGATATTTGAAAGTAACTTCATCATTCTACACATATGTATATGTACATATATTTTGAAACATACCACTCAAGATTTCAAAACATGGACTTATTGCATATGAGTCCATTTATGGACTTGGCACCACTACAACTAGAGAAGGGAGAATATAGCTCTCACGTATGCTCAAAGGTGTATTTATTAGCAATGACAGGATTAGGCCATAGCGATACGCAATCACACCACGAAGCCGCCACTGAGTTCTTGTCTCCTGAGAATTTTGCTGACCAGATTGTGTTTCAGTCCACATGGATAAACAAGTTGACCGTTGACAGTGAAAGGTCTGAGACTCAACTGACTTCAAGAACTTCTTTGTTCTCCTACCGTATGGACCCATCTTTATTTATTCAGGACCACTCCTTGGCGTTGAGGCAAACGTCCCTTGTTTTCGCAGGTAGCCGCACAATCCGTTATTGCTTCGGTGGACGTCCAGTAGAGTAGTTGTACGCGACAGGATCTTGTGTGGACCACAGGACGTCATGTGATGAAACAGTTGAAATGGCGCGATCGGAGTTAGATGTCTCATCAGTCATTTACTCACCTGGCCGAAGAGTGAGATACTGACAGTAATAATAGGGATATATCGTTCATGGCAAATATACAGTTAGAGACAAACAGTTAACGAGAATCGAGAAACGAATGTATGGGTACGCCACGCAAAGATTGGTGTTGTAATGGTAGACTAGAAGCGAGGTGGCTAATGAGAATAAAAATGAACTTCACACTATTCTTAAAAGTCCCACAATGCAAAGTCTCTACAAATATTAAGACGGCAAAATTTGAACAAGATGAACCCTACAACCTCAGGAAGCATAACTGTCTAGTTGACACATTGGAAGCCTTAGAACCTTTGACGACCTGTGCCTAAATTTCGAAGGGAATGGCATAATGTATTCTATGTTTTCAAACCTCGTTACAGTTTATATAAGGTCTAAACCATAACATTACCTGAAACATAGACTGTAGAATTCTTGATGTAGCTCACACGGAATATAAGGTGTTCCATGATGGCCGACCAAGTATCTAAGTGCAAATAATGACCTAATTCGAAGAACACCTTGTCAAAAACCGTAGGCAGTGCTTTGCAGCTACCCTTTTATTATAAAGTATGTATCTCGAGTTAGGCATATTAACTGACTCTCAATATGCTACTAGAAACAACGCCCTCCAAGATATTTACACAGAATTTACTATGTGTTAGTAGTCTGTTACATCCTTCACAAAGCGAAGTCTGTATTGTGAGTACATTCTCCGTCATACCTGCGATCTGAGTGTCCGAATTCATACACTCACAACACATTTTTGGACTCACTGAGCTGAAACGTAACCTAACATGTAATTAAGCAGAAAATTCACTAAAGGCTAGTCAAATAAAGCCAAGAAATCCGAAATCTCAAGGTGTATACAAGAGGTCGAAAAGTATTGGATATTGGGTTTTTAATTTTGTTTAGTCAAGCCATCGCACGTCGGACAACGGACAGTAGTTGAGGAGTGCGCTTACTATTGTAGTAGTTCGTGTCAGAATGTCGGAAAGGTGAGGTTGTCCATTAGTCTACAGGCTTCCAGGTGTCTCTTGTGAGTGTGTTAGTCGACTTAGGGATTTTGACAGAATGATGTTTGCTTGGAGTTGTCAGCCAATTGTTGTCCAACGGACAATTATGTCGTGCAGTTGCGACAGTCGCAGTAATTGGAGATCCAGGTCATATTCAATGCTGATTGTAAATAGAATTGCATACTACAATCTATATGACGGTCATTTAAGCACTGCTGAAATACTCGGTTGTGTTTTGTAGAGGGTTTTAAGGACATCCACGTAGACGTGGGGCACCAGGCCTGGTGGTTGGGGAGACCGTGGTGAGTCAGGCTGGTTCTGTGGAAATGGGTGGATGTGGATTGATTTGTATGATTCTCGCCATTAACATTACCCACATAACTGCCATCCTCTACGTGCAAAGCTGAGAAGTATTTTAGCGCATACCTCACCAGTATCTTTCTATTGTGGTTTCAGGTGCAGCTCGGAAGCAGTGTAACTAAGATACCCCAGAGACTGAACGGGTTTACCACAGAGTGGTGACTCGGAAAGTCATCTGAACTTTGGTGCATCAAGCTTTTATGACGGAATTGAGTTGTCTAACCGCACTGAGTAGTCGGGTCCACTTGTGGTGTGTTTCGGTGATGGTCGTGCACGTTAACTACCTGTTGACTGGAGTTCCTGAGAATCTGTGTGGAACGAGGACTGACGAGGTGTGGCTAACATGGAGGATGAGGAGTGAGCATGTTGTCTGTAATACTATGGTAGTATTGGCTCCTACTATCCCAAGAACCATGGTTAGACATGCATACTCCGTGGTCTAGACCACCAGTTATTACGTTGGAGATATGTACTTCGCTTCAACTTTACTAGTCCGAAATCCCGTGTTTTCAAACCTGAGTCGTCGATGGTTGCAGTGGGATAATGATTGTATTACCTCTACCAGACAAAACACAGCAAGTAAATATGTACGCCATTGATTGATTCATTTAACTTGTTTGTTCGACTCTCTTAATCCCCATCCCCACCCAATGACTATCGTTGGTGAATTGTAGATCAGATTTGTCAGCTGCGATTCCACACATAAGATGAGAGTAGGGGAAGCTATGTGACACCTAGTTATCGTCAATTCGACCTCTGATTTGACATTGTGAGGTGTAGAAGTCATGAATTTTGTCCTGTTCATTTAGCTACGGTGGTTTGCAGTTGTTTCATGAATGATGAGTTGGCGAGCAGTAGTATTGTGTCTGTTGTGTTCGGATACGTATTATGTAGTCTGCTGTCATTTTCCAGATTGATTTTTCAGTCAGCCTCCACAAATGACAGAGTAGCAGTGTTCGTATTCGTGGAGTGCATAACGACTAATATGTTGTTTTTCACCTTTCAGGTCACGCGTTAACAATTCAGGACCGTTGAAGAAGCCTGCTGAAAGAGGTTATCCAGCGTAAGTTTATGAATGCTCACAATAACTCGTAATAGTTCGTCTGGTTCTGTGTGGAGTTCCAATACACCTAGTGAACGGGGTGATATTCCGTCGTCTTCGGAAGGCGAAATTGCCTCGGAAGCTGCTCGCCAGAAAAAGAGCCATCCAGTCCAAAAAGCTGTGTGAGTACTATTCCTGTTGTTCCTTCAGATAACACGACATGTTTTGTCTTGATGCCTAACTAGCTTTCGTTTCTTTGTTTCAGGTATGATATATCTACGGGTATTTCGAAGTAAGTTGACGTCAAATAAACTCTAACAGTATTTGTCTTCATTGCTTCCTTCGGTAACGCTCCCGAATTGACTATTATTTTCAGACTAAACATACAGAAGACACTCAGAATACCGAATAGACCAGACCAAGGAGGTACAATCGGCAAGAAAGTCAAAGTCACTTCAAACTGTTGGGATTTGACATTTCATCACAGAACGGTATATTTGTATTTTGTGGAGGCCAACTCAGTTCATCGATTGGAAGCTAAGGAGGGCAGTAAAACTGAGATAAGAATGCCACCTAAAGAGTTGAGATCTTTAATTCAGCAGGTAGCTGACTCGTAAGTACCATTGTGTTATTGATCAAATGAATTGTTCACATATGTAACGGAACTTTCTGTTCCTTAATTATTAAGCTGAATTGTTTCTCTGACTTTTGGTCAAGTATTGCTTGCTTGTCAACCAAAGATTCGTACACGTGTGGGATAACTTGTTCCATGTCCCACACCATTCATTATGTGACTTTGGTTACTGTCAGCGTTGTTTAGAAAGAATTGGTGAAGTTGTTGGTTATGGTTTCTATTGAGAGCACTGGTATCTATTCATAAACCTCACGCTAAACAATTATGCTTATTTCACTCGCTTCTGCAGTTTACCAGATACGATCATATACGATGGCGGTCACGCCATATACTCTGAAGATCCGTTACCTGGTGTCACAACGGACCCCGTAGAAAGAGAGATTGAGATCAAGGAGCCGTTTGGTCGGGACCGCCTTCTTCTGAAGTACCGGATTATGGAAGTGCAGAAGGTATCTACTTCCGATATCAGCCATTTCATAACGAATCCGAAAGCGACCTCTATGAATATGCCCCAAGTAAGGCTGGATATGTTTCATATTTGTTTCTAGGAATGTATCAGATTGTTAGACTGCATCTTGAAGACGGTGTCAAAGCAGTCGTTTGTATCCCTTGGACGCTCAGCCCTATTTCAGCAAACACCAATTAAAGTGGTTATGGATAAGCTTTTCACTATTCATAAGGGTTTCATCAGTAGCGTGCGACCCCAATGGAAAATTCGTGTCAACTTGGATATGGTAAGTAGTGATTCACCTTCTATTTTACATATAATCACAGACGTGCAAGGCCTACTTTGTATCCGGGAATCTAGCGGACGTCATGTACTCGAAGTATGGAGACGATATGGTTAGATGTAGCACTCAAATGGCATACGACTTGAGAAAGATACGAGTTGAGACTGATAAATTCTACAAGAGCGATGATGGTATGCATGTTTTCTGTTATACCTCATACATTTTAGGACGTGCATATTCCCGACGCTTCACCGTGCACGGGATATCATCACTACCAGCCGACCGTTTGATGATTGAGGAGTTGAACCAGTCCGTGGCTGAATATTTCAAGCGGCACCATCATATCACTCTGAAGTATCCAGAGCTGCCCTGTGTGAAGGTAAATTTGCATTTCAGTGATTATTTTTGTAGGTTGATCAAAAGCGTGAAGTGTATATGCCTATGGAACTGTTAAACATTTTGCCCTATCAAGCTCCTAATGCGAGTAAAGCCGATATTGCGAGTGAAGTTATCCGTTGTGCAGCAATTCGACCACAGGAGCGCTTCAGAGAGCTGGAGAATTTTGCCAATAATATGCTGAAGTAAGAGTTTCATTTATGAGTTGATACCACCGGTCAGTACTAAAGTGTAGTGTTGCTTATTGATCCAAGAGTTGAGGGTAAGCATGTTGAGATAGACGAGCTTTCGATGATTGATTTCTTCGGCATTCCATGAAGCTTGTAGCTCGACACTCATTGTTGTAGCGCATTAAAAGGATGGTGAGAAAGTAGAATAAGTAGTAGGTTACAATACCGACCCTGGATACTTGTGGAGATTTCCGAATTATCACACTTAGCTTCTATAGATTCATTGGTGATGTCAATGGAAGAGTCCTCTAGAATGGGCGGAGTAATGCTACTTTAAATTGTAGCCGATAAGCTATGGATCTGTAGGTCCTTCCAACTACAAGCCAACTCAGTTTTCCCATGATTGGAAGTTCTAGTCTTCATTGTATTCCTGTAAAGAGACAAGTTGAATGTGAGAACGGAAGCACACTATTAGACGAATGATTGGTTATAGTTGTATTTCATTGGTTGTTTACGCACAGCGATAGGCTTTTGATTTCTAGCAAAATTGCTACTAGCTATTGGAATTGAAATACAATTACACTTGATTGATGTATTCCACAATGCGTAAACTTCTCACATATATTATTAGATGAGCGCTTTGTGAACGTTTTGATGACAGAAATCTGCTGTCCGTTGTGTCAGCCGTAATTTTGAAATTTGAATAAACGTGAGGTAAACGCCACAGTCCTTCTCGGTAAGTGCCGGAGATCCTTGACGTAACGCCTCCCTACAGAGTTTATTGTTTGTTTTCCAAGCATGCAAGTAGATACGACATACACTGTTTTGTACATCGATTTGATAAGGACGCAGAATGTGGCGGTGTCTAGTTGGTTATAGTGGGCCACGAGTCATATAATTGCACAGACTTGCGACTAGTTGAGCACGACAAAATTAGAGTAGTGTTTGTTGGCTGTGTGGCAGTGAAGAGAACTCAATTGTAGGGTAAGTATGCTTGAATGCAAGTCTGGAACCAACTGTGTAGGAAGGTGTGTAAACGACGTTAGCCTGGAGCCAGATTTTATGATTTACTCAATGCATTGTTTTGTAATTATGAGGGTTTCTTTTGACATGACATTTGTTCCATTTCCTCCAAGGTCCCACCCACTGATCAAACAATTTGGTTTGGCGATTCAACCGAGGCCAGTGGAAGTTAACGCACGTGTTATCCAGCCGCCAACTGCTGGCTTTGGTCGTTCCGGTGTACAACAGCTGACGGCAGGTAGTTGGAGCACGCCTAGCTTTCTTCACCCTGCCGGCGAAGGAGTAGAAATAATGTGGGCTGTACTTAGCATTCCGCCTAATCAGGTATGTTTTCTACTCCAGTTCAACGTAAGATTAGTGCTGTAACAAAGTTGAGTTGTACAATCACTTGGGCACCAAATTGACATTGTAGACTTGATCATTTGTCGATTGTATCAACATCGAAGGGTAGCTCGCCTAGTTCCATGACAGCCCACCTACTTTATTGTTCACTGCATTACGTCGGTGGCAATATCATCATCTTTTATTTGTCAGTGTTTAATGCTCTGTATACAAAGAGGAGGTTTTGTCTGCCTTTTAATAAAGTGAAGGAAATGTTGTCAGATGGGTAGAGTAGCCTGAGAAGT